TCACTCAAAACAGGATGAGACAATTGTTCTTAATTGTGAATGCATCACTGTATGTTGGATTAGTTAGGTGAAATCATTCACTGATGTTTGTGACAGCTGCAGGTGACAAATTTCTAAACAATTTTGCATTGTGCCATCTTTCTTTTAGAACATGTTTGATTTAGTTTACCGCAGTGTTAATTAATATATTAACTAACATGCAGGAACTAACATGAATTAAGGTGGTGCTATTCATGCTGTAATTCATATGACTCATGTCGTAGTTACGTTAGTTCTTCATTAGTTCATGATTAATACATGTCTTAACTCATCATTAGTTCATCATTAGTTCATAGTGAAGAAATTACTAATTACATGCTAATTCATGTACTGTTATTATAAAGTGTTACCGAAATTTCTAATATTGGTTTCTGCAGCAGCTTAACTTCTCGGATCAGGTCCGCACCTTTACCCGGTCCTCTTGCAGAATAAACCGTCACATGTTAGTTCCTTATAAAATGTTTCTTATTGAAAAGTGAAGACTTATTACTGAAGCAAGTTTGCATTATTGCATTACATGTTTAGTATAATAACTATTCCAAAGCAGAAATTAATAATTTGTAATCATTGTAGTTAAAGCAGCAGTTTTATTATGAATTTCATTGGTAATTACTGATTGACATTACATTGTATTTGCATAATAATGGATTTTTCTACCACAGGCCCTCTAGCCAATTGCTGTGCAGCCTGGTAATTATCTTCTCTGTGAGGATTATATGGAGGCCTCATTCTCCTTGGAGGTTATACATGTATGTAGATGGTGGCTGAGTATACAGTAGCTTAGCTGCAGTGCACGTTTGACCTGTATGATCCATCCAACAATGTGCAAAGATGACTTCCCAGCTCTCCATTTCAGGGCAAAATACCTGCTGAACATTACCACTACTAGGTTGAGTAGATCCACAGGTTGATTAGTCAGGACTGAGCCTGAACCGCACCTCATTGGTTACTTTGGTTCCGGTTGGGTGGAACAGGGAAGTGACAGTGTACTATAAATCCCACCCACAATGGACTTTGAAGCCTCTCCTCTCAGAGCCTTATGGAAATCCCACCACATAGCAGAATGAAAAGAAAAAGAAAAGAAATGGCAGAGAAAGCCATTGCTTATACACATGTTCTTTAATACAGACGATAAAGAATGGCAGTGGGTACCCTAAGGATGGGGCAGATAGTATAATCCTGAAGATTCCAAAATTGCATGGTAGTCACAAGGTCCTCACATGAGACCTGCTGCAGACCTGAGAGAGGGAAACATGAATAAGACTGTTTGATTTACTTTTTCTGTAAGAGATTGTAGCACCCTGAGATGTGTGGGTCAGATTACCTTTCACTGGCCCTAATTAGCACATCCCCAAGTGATGTCCATAAAGACAATTAATTTGGAGCACAAGCAATATCTTTTTAATCTCAAAAATGGTATTCAACAGGCAGGTGGATTTACAACAGTTGATTGTGAGTCAGACCTTCTAACACAGTAGGCCTACTCCTAAAGCACTCAGACATCCGGTGTACCATATACACTGCAGTCAAATGACATACGACAGAAAGGCACTACATGCAATAAACACCCCTAGTCTCATAGTTCTCAAGAAAAACCAAAAATACATGCAATTAGAATAAATCACACTGGTAGGTCTCTGTGTTTGCCTTGATCAGCTTCCCCCACCATGGTAACCTGAATGGTGCTTTGGATCTGGTTACAAATACAAAACATAAGATATCCCTAAAAACAACAGCTGACACCCAAGACAATGCATTAAACCCTGAAATACAAAAGACAGAAGAATTACTCTGCAAAATTATTACCAATTTAATATACACTGCATAATATAAACAGAAAAATACTAAGACAAAATCATTAAAAAATACTATTAAAACACCCATGTAAGAACCCCCATGTAACTGAGTTCAAAATAAAAGCACATCACATTACCCAATCGTTCGTGGCCGGCTTGCGTTACTGTGCTTCCGTCGCTCACTAGCTATCTCATTTATCAGCCCCATCCACTATGCTTCCTGTCCATTGCAGTTGTTGCCAATAACAATGGTAAAGGACTGGATAATTAGCTCAAATTAAAAACATTTACACGCATACTAGTTGTTCTTGTGTAGCAGTTTCCACTAACCATGTACCTGAAAGTCCCCAAACAACACTTCGCTGTCTGTCAACGTGCCTACAACCACAGAATCGTTGAGTCTGCTATGTCAGTGATGTCACTCTCGGGAGTTCCCGTGAGAGCATGATGTATCCCCCGATCTCCTGCTTAGTAAATCTTGTAGGGTGTGGCACTGTGGGTCAATGGTCACTGCTGCGCCTTGTCATGCCTGAAAAAACATGCCATATATTTTCCACAAAGCTTGAAAGAATGTTTTTCTTTTCAAGGCTATCAGCAGACAAGCTGTGGAAACACCTTGTGGAGCCTTGTCACTTTCAGCTTTGGGTAGTGCGGGCGAGTTACAACACCACGAGTCATTGTCTCGTATCAATCATTGGGCTGACTAGATGCCGTCTGTTGTGTTTAAGTTCCTGTCGTCTCCCTCGCCCCTGTGCGTTGTTACTTTTGTAAAGTGAAATGGAGAGCAGCGAATCAAGACCCCACAAGTCTGTGGAGAGAGAGACGTCAAGGGAATGACAAGGGAACTGGCAATGACACAGCATTCTGTGGCTACATGGTAAAATGCAACGCTAAACGATTCCGTTTAAAACAGTGATTGGAGTCCGGGTGTCTGGGAACGTTTGTGATGTTAGCTGCTGTGAATGAAGACCTGCTGATTTTCTCATGTCGGTTCTGTGAAACTCCTGGTATTTTAAAGCTCTGTGGACGGATGATGCTTCTGCCATCTAGTGAAAGATCAGGCTGCACCTGAAATAATCCCTGCTGGCAGAATATCGGAGCTGGGCTCCTTTGATAGTTCCTGTTGCTCACCAAACCCTGCTCTCTTGGTTTTCTTACAGCTACACAAATATTTCTACACATTTGCACTCAAAACATGCTAAGAAACAAATTTAAAAAAAAATCAGACCTTCGCAGCATGATGTGGTTGCATTTCATAAGTCTGTTTAGCAGCATGTTGGTCACTTACGTCGGTCGGTCACGGCTGAAGTTCTGCAATAGAAAGCCTCTGCTAAATTTGATGTTCAAAGAGGTTTCAAACTCCTGTTTTTCGGAATCACTTGAGGTCTTAAATGTATAATGATCTCCCACATGCTAGCAACTTAACAACCATTTCCAAATATTCAGCTGGAATGACCCAATTCGCTATTTATAAGCCATACAAAGAGAACAATAATTCTAACTGTTCGGAGTTTAAAAACAACATGAGGCTGTGCCTCAGTCGTTTCATGAGCATGTGATACCAGAAGCTTCTAACCTTAGCTTGTTACCACCTCCCCAGTCCCAGGGGGGCCATAAAGGGGGGGAGGGGAGTTAGGACGAGTCCAAGGGCCCCAGAGTGACTGTGGCCCTAAGAAATTTGGAACATTATCTGACTGATCTGGGTTGGGGGCCCAATATAATATGCTTTCATGGGGCCCAAAATGCGACACCCCTCCTCCTGGGTCAATAAAGACAGCAAAAAACAGACTAACAAAACAAAAAAAATATATATATAACAAACAAACACACACATATATATATGTTTGTTTGTTCATACGTTCGTCTATTTATTTATTTGCCCATTCCTTCTTTCATCTATTTGTTTATTTCTCATGAAAATGGTCCTCTTTGTACATGCTGTTTCCCAGATTCTCCAGATTGCATTATGCCTTGAGAGCAAAAAAAAAAAATTTAAATAACATTGCATGAATGGTCTATATTTCAAATGGTGCAGAAAAACCACAAAGGAATGATTAAGAATGCCAACAGTGAGACGAAAACACAGTCAGGGGAAAAAACACACAAAAAATGAAGTTGTCTAGCTTGACTATCTGAATAACAGAATGATTAAAATGTCATCAGAATAATACTCTACTGTACAGGGATCAACACCATGG